TGACATCCCCTTTAATGACTTTTGTTTTAAGTGCACCTCTGGTCACCCGCTTACTTTGAAGAATGCCACCCTGGTCGGCAGTGCCAACAGCACCCCGGCTACCACGGCCCCTGCTGCGTACCCGGCCCCTGCCCCTAGGCACTGACTGCTGGAATTCATAATCTCCCTCACCTGAAAAGTCCAACTCATACTCCTGACTGTCCACGTCCACATACTCTTCCTCCATAAGACCAGGTGATCGAAAGTCACCCAAAACCTCAGGACCAAAGTCACTCTCATGAGACCAAGAAGGTTCATGGGAACTTGAGTGGCCAAAGTCATGCTCCCAAGACTCTGAGTGGCTAAACTCTGGTTCCTGAGAACCAAAATGACTAAAGTCTAGGTGGCCAAAGTCCCGGTCTCTGGCGCTAACCCGGCTGAAGTCCCTGTCCTGAGAGTCTGCACGAGAAAAGTCCCGATCCCGACCAAAATCTTCCTGGTAGTAGTTTTCTTCACTCATGGGAGGACTGTTGGATCTAAATGAAGGTCCAGGAAATACCTCATCCCTGAGGTCTTCTCTCCAAGTGTCACGAGGATGTACTGGATCATGAGAGTATCTTCCATCATCATGAAAACTGTCTTCATATCTGTCTGCTCTTGATCTTGGGATTGACCTTGAATGACCTGAAATGAACCATTGAAAAGGAAACAGTAAAGCTTTATACTTTAGGTTCAAGGAATACTTTTTGTTCACCAACTTCCATACTGGAACAGAATGTCTATGTTTGTTTCACATATGTTTCTATTTGTTTAACAATGCATAATCATTGAATAGGTCTCTAGGTGAAGAATTAAACTATTATTATAAACCCTGAGCAGAAACATGCAAATGTTGTCAAGCATTTTTTTCTTAAAAATGTTTTAACATGTTATCTTTTGTTTTTACACCTTCATTTCCAAATATATCCCATCCTATTCCCTTGCCAAGGATTCATCCCCTAGTAAAAAAGGGAAAAAAGAGAGAGAAAAAGAGGAGGGAAAGGGGGGAAGCTTCAACAAAACTAACCAGCATACCAACTAAATCTGACATATTCAGTATTCCACACTCATAGTTCCCATCTCTGCAAAGAAAGGAGGGAGGTGCATTTTTTCCATCTCTTCTCTAGGGCCAGACTTGGTCATTATACTTAAAGAACTTGCAGTTTTGATTATTTTTTGTTCTTTCCATTTATACTCTTAATTATTGTAAATATGGTTTCATGGTTCTGCTTACTTCATTCTGCATCAGTATATATAAGCCTTCCCATGTTTCTTTAAATTCTATACGTACTGTAATTTCTTTAGCCATTCCCATAGATGGGATTCTGCTGTTTCTAGTTCTTTGCTATGACAAAAAGCACTGCATTAAGTATTTTGATATGTAGCTGTCTTTGTCATTGAAATATATACCTAGCAGTTTGATTCCTGGGTCAAGGAATATGGTCATTTTAGTCACTTTTTTAGCATAAATCCAAACTGCTTTCTTCAATGGTTGGACCAATTCATAGCTCCACCAACAGTGTATTAAGGGGCTTGTTTTTTTCCCACCCTCTCCAACATTATCTTTTGTTGTCTTTACTAATTTGCTAGATGAAATTTCAGAGTTGGCTTAAAAAATAAAATTTTATTTTTAGTTTTTGTTTTTATATCACGTTTACTTCCAAATATCTCTTTCCCCTCCTCTACTCAGACAGACATCACCTGTAACTAAGAATAAAAAAGAAACGGGGGTGGGGGGGTGGAGGAAGAGACAATTTTCTGACAAACTAACCAATACAGCAACCAAGTCTGACAGCAGACAAACTATTTTACAAGAAGTTTCCTCCTCCTCAACCCTACCTCTGCAAAGCAGGGAGTGAATTTTCTTCTTTCTCCTTCCAGGCCAACCTTGTCTGGTTTTGGTTTTGTTTATTATTTTTTTCCACTACATTGCTGTAGTCACTGTATATACACTAGGTTCTGTTTAGCCTTTCTCTAGTTTGTATGTTTTCCCATGCTTCTCTGATGCACTAATTTTCCATTACATTCACATACCACAATTTGTTTAGCCAGTCCCCAATCAATGGGGACTCTATAGTCCGGACATCTTGGCCTTCTTGCTAGTCCTCAAACCCCCCCTTCCCTCTCATTGCTTTGGGCTGGCTATTCTCCATGCCTGAAATGGACCCTCACCTCACTTTTCCCTCTTAGAATCCTGTTTCCTTCCACATGAGAGCTTTCATGATCTCCCTAGCTGTCGATAGCCCCCCCAAAGCTTTACTTGGTACATACTTATGTACTTTCCCCCCAAAATGACTATAAATTCCTTGAGGACAGGGTCGGTTTCATTTGTCCCGTTATCTCCCCAGCAGCTAGTGCAATGTCACTAACAGGCCCTTAATAAATGCTGGCTGCACGGTGGGTGTCAAGCTCTACTAGCAACGTATTAGCATGCTTGTCTTTTCACAGCCCCTCCAACACTGACAATTCTCATCTTCTGTCATCTTCTCCAGTTTTCTAGGTATGGGGTGAAATTTCAGTTGTTTTGATTTCTCTTATTGTTAGTGATTTAGAGCAATCTTTCATATTATTAATGATTTGTGACTAAGAATTTCAATATGAATGTCTTGTAATTGAAAACTAACAAATTTGTTTTCCTTCAAGTGAAAGGTAGCATGTGTGGTAGAAAAGACTAGTGAACTTGGAATGAGAAGGCCCAGAATTGAAGTCTAGGTCTTTTGCTTCTGGCTTTATGACAGGTCACTTAGTCACCGAGCCTCAGTTTCCTCCACCTGCAAACCAGCATGACAATACATGCACTAATCACCTCACAAAGTCATGGCAAAGAAGTGACCTTCTGACCTTCTGATATTACTGAAATGTATGCTATTGTTTGTGAACTTCTGGTTCCTCCCATCCCCCAAAGCCTCTTTTAGTTTACCTTGAGACTTAAACTGATGGAGAGTGTCTTCTATGGCATCACTGTGGTCCATGCGATATCTCTTAACCTTTTCTTGTATGACAGCATCAAAAGTTTCCCTAGTGATTCGCCTAGATGCCATCATTCACCCCAGCTACAAGAAAGAGACATGTTAACACAAAAGATCCTACATTCTATTGTGCTTTTAGCTGAATGCTTCAGAAGCTTCACGCTTATTCATACCACTTGTATTTTCTGTGCGGTATTAACCTGGCATACATTTAACACAAGAGAAAACCAAGCCTTTCAGCCTTATTTCACATTATTCCTCTTTGTAAAACACACTGGACATGACAAAATGGAAAAAGTGTTGAGTTTTCCCCAGAGTCTCCTGACTCTGTGCAAACATTCCCACTTCTGGAAGCTGATCCCTTACCTTAGCCTATTAGAATCCTTTTATCTCTTCAAAGTACAGTCCCTCTACTACCTCTGCCATAAAGCCTTTACTTATACTCCTAGTTAAAAATGATCTCCTTCCAATGTTCTTAGAACTCTAATCTAGATTTCAGCTTTGACTTTTTCACATTTTACCTTGTATTATATGACTTGTCTGGTTTTTTCAAGGTATCATGTCCTTAACTAATACTATGTTGGAAGCTTGTTGAGGTCAGCGACTGTACCACTTTCATCTTTGTATATTACTTCAGCCACACAGCAGGTACTTAATATATGTTTGCTGAAACCCTTACAGAGCAGAGCCAAAACAATTTGGTCTCACCTCTGAAAAGACTTTTTTTTTTCCCTTCAGGTGTGGGCACACAGGGCTTAAAGATTAAGGCAGGTGGCATCCACCTGTAGCCCAATGTCTCATCACACTTCCAGGGTTATCCTGAATTTTCAAATGCTGTGCCCACGTCCTACTGAGCTGAAATGGCGTCCACTACATGTCAGCCATGGCTTGTCATCTAAAGACTAGCTTGGGGAAGAGGTCTGCATGAGGCTCATGACTAGGCTGGCCACAGGGTAATGCATTTTCTGATCCACAGCTACTATCAAACACTGCCTGCTGAGTTGTAGGAGGATTGTCTAAATGGAAGAAGCATCTGCACTGATGAAAAATGGATCCTTGAAATCTAAAGGTATTAAGGGTCTCTTCTATTAAAGGCCCTGTGCAGGCTGCTGGGCTAGGGGAAAGCGAAGGAGGGAGGGACAAAAGCAAATGATACCAGAGTACCGGGGCCTGAAGCCAAGATCAGTGGATTGAAAGATGAACTCCGGAGGCCCAGGTTCCCAGGCCTGGGGACCCCGAAGGGGAGGAAGCCCCAGGGCTCAAGGTGCCACTGCTGGGGTAGGGGGAGAGGAGCGAGGGGTCCGCATCTCCCCAAGATTTTGGGAGGGAGGGGAAGGGCCCCGGCCTTCTTGGACTCCTCTCTGGCCCAGGCCTGGCTCCTTTCTGCTCCGGGCCAAGGCTCTTCCCAACGAGCCCCCACACCCACCCCCATCCCCCTAAAAACAGCCCCCCCACCCCCAGCCCTGCTCCTCCTCCCACCCAAGGCCCTTTACCGGCCCTCACTAGGATGCAAAGAGCGGACGGCTCGCTGGGCTGGGCCAGACCTTGTGTGGAACCACCACCGCGCGGCACAGTCACAGGCCTCGGGGGTCCAGCGGATTTCGGTGGCTCCGGACACCGGGTTACCCCCAGCCCCCCCACCCCGTCTTTTAGGTGCAGAATTGCGCATGCGCTGGAAACCGCTCCCCTAGATACCCACGTGACCCAGACGAGGCGGGAGCATGCAAATTAGCTAACGGTTTCCCCAACCCTTCCCTGACTCAAGCACCGCCTCGACTCGTCGCGCATGCGCCACGCATCCCCCAGCCGTTCCTCAGTGAATCTATTCTCTGGGAAAGCTCACCAAGACGAATCTTTCCTCTACTGCGCTGACAACACGGGGTGAGAGGCCGTGCGGTGTAGCAGCTATGTAGCTGACGGCCCTTACACTCCCTAGTCCTTCTTTTGCGCCATTGCCTCTTCCCCCCTGACTCCTGCTTGGGAAAAAGAAGGCTAGTGCGTCTGCGCGGGCCAGCCCAGCTGCTACGGTGGCCACCAAGAGTCAGAGGCGCCCGCCGGGCTCCGGGCGTGGGTGGCCTTGTCTGTGGAAGCGATCAGGTGAGGCGGGAGCTGTCACCGCGGAGGTGAGGGGTGGGGTGGGGAGAAGCTGGCTTAGGGCCAGGACCGGAATTGAGCCACGCACGAGCCAGCCTCCGGAGGGAAACCCTGCTCAGCTCATCCTCTTTTTCCCCGACTCAGTTTATCAGTGGAGGAAATGGGGACCGGTGGAGTAGCCCGAGTGCAAGAGACCGTTCTAGAGAAAGAGCGCCAGGCTGAGAGGTTACCGAGCCACACGTGGCATCACAGATTTTTAGAAAGCTAGTTCATTCCTCTCCCTTCATTCTTACAGATGAGGAAACAGAGAGACTTAGTGACTTGTCCAAGGCCATGCTTCTAGCAAGTCAGGGCCAAGATTTGAACCCCTGCCTCATTTTATAAATGGGGAAACTGAGGCTTAGAGAAGGGAGGTACTATTTGTAAAATGCTTAGCACAGTGCCTGGCACATAGTAGGCCCCTTAATAAATGTTTGTTCTCTCCATAGTTTATTTATGCGTTTTTTTATTCTTTATGTGGTCAGTAAAAGTGCAAGGAAGAGGAACCTCTCCATTCAATAGATTCACACGTTGTTTTAATAGAATTATTTGTTTATTTCTAAAAGGACTTAAGCCTCACAGTCAAGGATCTTAGGTCTAGAGACTGGAAGGAGTCTCAGAGGGGAAATGTGTTGCAAAGGTACACAGGACACCTCCTCTGTGGAAGGAGGAAATTAAGAGGTAATTAAGACATATTCCCTGACTTCCAGAAGAGGCATGTACAAAGAAATAGAATACCAATTAGAATATGACAAGGTGATCTCTAGGGTCCTTACTAACTCCCAGTTCTGTGACTATAAAACTGTCACACAGACTCTTCCTGCTGGGAGAATTTAGGCAAGGTGGCAGCATTTGAACTGAATAAACTTAAGTTCTTCTTATGACTGTATACCTAGGCTCCTGCTAGACACTGGGGGAAATGTAAAGATAACAATGCCTTACATTGGTGTCATGGATAGAAATTACTTCATTTGATCCTTATAGCAACCGTGTGAAAAAGGCAAGGCAGCTATTACTAGCCCCATTTTATCAAGTGGTCTGAGGAAAAAATGAGTGAGTTGTCCCTAGTTATAGAACAGACTAGAGAGTGTGTAGGCTTAGAGTCAGGAAGTCCTGGGTACAAATCAGATGTCTTACTAGCTGAGTGACCGTGGGCAAGTCATTATCATTTCTCTATGCCTTAGTTTTCTCATCTGTCAAAGGGGTGGTATTCTCCCTCTGGCTCTCTGTGTCCAGTAAGGCTGTAAGGCAGGTACAGGTCTGCATGGAAGAAGGGGTTTGTTTCTTCATTAAGAGTTCTCTCTATCAGTGAAAACAAAGTCTAGTTCAGGGGTGGGGAGCCTGTGGCCTTGAGGCCACATGTGACATCTAGGTCCTCGAGTGTGGCCCTTTGACTGAATCCAAACTCCACAGAACAAATCCCCTTAATAAAAGGACTTGTTCTATAAAATTTGGACTCAGTCAAAAGGGCGCACCCAAGGACCTAAAAGGCCACATGTGGCCGCAGGCTCCCACCCCTGGAGTTGCTTCTCTCCCTTCCCAGCAAAGTATAATGACCATATCCAGAAGACCTCCCTCCCTCATACGGCTGATGATCCTTAAATGAGAGAAGTTAATGGATATAAAACTTGAAAATGTGTAAGATCACAGGATCCTGTCTTTAGAACAGGAAGGGCCCTTAGAGGTCATCTTGTCATATAAGTGATTTTTCTCTGGGTCATACAAGTCAAGTCCATAAGCACTTATGTGCCAGGCACACAGGTAGTAAGTGAGTTGTGTTTTGTTATGTACAGAATGGACTCAAGCATCAGAGGTAGATCCCAGCCTCACTGGATATGCTGGATAAGGTGTTGTGGGGTTCTAGCTGTGAATGGTGGCAAGTGGATTATGTTCCAGGTGACTTTAATATACACTACTGAGACCTGGTAGGTCTCTGATGTAGTCCAAGATGCCTACCTTTTTGATTCTTACATGTTGTCTTTTATCTTTAGCTTTAATCAGTCATCCAATAGTTTATATTGAATTTTTAGCTTTGGAGACTGGAATCACAGGAGTCTGCCCAAAGTCAACATGGCCAAACGCATCAGCCAACAGACCTTTGATGACGTGGTACAAGAAAACATCATGGAATTTGACATGGACCCTGAGGAGGCTGTGAAAGAAGCCATCCAGCAGTTTGAATCTCAAGGTACTGTCCTGTTGTTCTTGTGGATGGCTCTGAGTCTAGACTGGCCTGCTGTGGATGCCCATGCCAGGTGTCACCTGTCCTCCCTGATACAGTGAGTGCAGTTGGTATCATGAGGAGCCGTGCCCCTTGGGTGGTGGGAGACAGACTGTCTTGTGTGCCTGACTCAGGGGTTGCCTTTCACTGTCAGTTTATGTTCAATGGCACAAAGAACCCAAGCCTCCAGAGGACTCATCCTTTGCTCAGGTTCAGATACAAGATCTAACTTGTCAGTCATCAGCAAACATCTGTTAAATACCTACTGTGTGCTGGGCAGGCACTGGATACACAAAGACAAAAGGAAAGCAGTCTCTGCTTTCTCCGGAGAGGCTTCCATTCCATCAGGAGAGATGACACATAAAGCTAAATGGACACATAAAATAAATATGCGGTAATTTCAGAGCAAGGGCACTGGCAGTTGGCGGGAGAGGAGGTTAGAAAAGGCCCCATGCTGACGGTGCTGGTTGAGCTTTGAAGGAAATGAGAGTCTCTGCTTGGCAGGGGGAGGAAGGGGTGCATTCCAGGTAGGGGAATCAGCCTGTACCAAAGCCTGGAGACAGGAAATGGAAGATGGAATGTCTCAGGTAGGGAGGAGCAAGAAGATCAGCCTGGCCGGACTAGAGACTGCAGGAAGTAGAGTCATGTGATGACAACAGCTAGATTGTGAAGCCTTTCAAACAAGCCCAGCAGAGGCGTTTCTAGGGAATCTTAGAGGCGATGTGGAGACAAGGGAGTTTATGGACTAGGGCAGTGACATGGTCAGGTCTGCACTTTAAGAAAGTCATTCTGACTACTGTCAGGAAGATGGATTAGAGGACAGAGGCAGGAAGAGCAATCAGGAGGTGAGGGTAGTTGTAGGGAAGATTGCTAAAGGCTTCGTCTAGGGCACTGGCTGTTGCCACAGAGAAGGGAAGAGATGTTGGGGAGGCCCCATGCAGCAGCTGATCAGGTATAAAAGGGGTGGGGAGCAGGGAAGAAGGTGATCTCAAAGCTACAAATTTGAGTGACCGGAAAGACTGTGGTCCTCTGACCAAAACAGGGAAGCTGTGTGGAAGAGGTGGCTTGGCTGCCAAGCTCTGTTTAGAAATGTCTAATGAGCAATTGCATGTGCATATCTGGGGCTCATGAGAGAAACTTGGGATGAATGTAGAGAACTGGGATGTCAGTGCATAGAGATGATCATTTAAGTCTGGTTGTTGAGGAAGTCACTAAATAAGACATGGGGAGGGAAAGAAGGCAACAAAAATTTGGGAAACCCCAGTAGACAGAGTATATAATATGAATGATGAACCAGCAAATAAGAGTGAGAAGTGGTCACATAGGTAGGAGAAAAACTGAGAAAGAAGTTGAGTATCATGAAAACTCCAAGAGTAAAGAGGATTCAGGACGAAATGTTCGTCAGCAGCCTTAGCTGTTGTAGAGGGACTGGGAAGGATGAGAAAGGAAAAGAAGGCCTTGAAGAGATTGCTGGCAGAGCAGTTCTGGTTGAGTGATGATGAGTTCAGAAACCAGATTCAAAGAGTTGAAAAGCTTGAAGAAAGGAAGTGGTGTCGGTGAGTCTATGTTACTTTTTCTAGGGGGTTGGCAATAGCCTTGAGAGGATGGTAGCATCTAGTGAAGGTTTTTTCAGGATAGGAGATGCTTGGACATGTTTGTAAACAACAAAGAACTAGTAGACAAACAGATTAAAGATGGAAGAGGAAGTGACTGTGGGATTAATCTGCGAGAGGCAAGATACATGTAGAGGAACTGGCCTGGGTGAGGAAAAGGGTCACTTCTTCATCAGAGCCTGGGGTAAAGGATGGAATAATGGAGAAATTGTTGAGGGGAGGAAGCCCATAGTGAATCATTTCTCTTTTCTTAGGGAAATGTGAAGCGAGGTCTTGTGAGTGATGGTGGCAATTGGAAAGACCCACTGCACAGAATTACAGACTGGGAGAACCATAAGGGGCCTTGGAAGTCATATTGTTCTACCTCATTCTTTCACCGACAAGACACTAGAAGGGAAAGTGAGCCTGGGGTAGCTAGCATCAAGTCTAAAGTCGGGAATTAGGCTGGAAGAATAAGCAAATAAAAAAAGAATCTCCCCATAAAAAGCTATTACTGTGACAGGGATGCTCAAGGCACAAACCCAGAAGAGCCTGACTACAAAAATCTACAGCAAAGGCCTCAAAATAAAACATGGCTTGGGCACAGATTCAACTAGAATTCCTAGAAGAGATAAAGTAAGAATTTAGAAAACAAAAAAATTAAAATATTTTTATAAATGAGAGTACTTGAGGAAAAAAGTTAGAAAAGAAATGAAAGCTATGGGAGAAAGAATTAGAAAGGAAATTAACAGTTTATCTTAAGAAGTACAGAAGCTTACCCAAGCAACAAACTTTGAAAATTAGAATGGACCAAATAAAAGCCAATGACTACATAAGACAACAAGAAATATTAAAGCAAATTGACCAAGAAAAGAACCTAGGGTAGGCCCTCACCCTTGCCCAGTGCTCGTCACTCTCCCAAGGCTTCAGTCACTCACTCCAGGGCTGTACTTACAGGTCATTATTGCCCAACTGCGCTTGGATTTCCTCTTCATTTCTGCAGAGAGAACTTTCCTGGGCACCTTCTGTAGCCCAAGAGGAAGCCTTTGCTACAGAATCATAATCATAATAGGTCATATTCTTGAGATAATTCATATACATTATCTTATTTGATCCTCTGTGCCCAAAGAGAACCTTGGAGAGGTGAGGAGATGGAAAACTCTTTCTATCTACCCGTGCTGAGTTTGAAAACATGAATTAGGCAGACCAGTTACACCAAGACACTCACTGTCCCCTCCTGCCCCATTTTCATGGCCAGTCCTCTAGTATAAGCTCTTGTTAACAGCTACCTAGAACAGAGATACTAAACTCACTCCCACTGAACCAGATTAAAATGTAATTGGGAAATATTTAATAAAATAAATAAAAATACAGTAGGTAATGTTAATTTGTGATTTTCTGGGTCACTATGCTGGGATCTCTATGTGTTTTAAGGTTGACACCACTGGCCTAGATTATGGCAGTAGCCTCTTAGTAAGATTTCCTACATCCACTTTCTCCCCTCTCCAATCCGTCCTTCGTATCACTTGCTAAATTATTTTTCTTATGGATAAATCTGGTCATACCATTGTTTCACTCAGACATCTTCTCTGGCTTAATGCCATAAGGCATTGTGGCACAGTGGGAAGAGTCTTTTGAGTCAGACCTGCCACTCCCTTGTTGACAAATTCGGGATTCTTTTATCTGATCATCATCTTTTATTCCATCCTTCCCTGTGCCTTATAGCCTCTAACCCTGTTGTTCTTTGTCCTAACGGTGGTCTCCCATCCCTTGACCCCTCATTTCTTTCCTGTGCCATCACTCCTCTTCTGGATACACTCTCCTCTCTTCTCCATCTTCACCTCTTCATGAATCAACTCATCTCTACCCTCAAAAAGTTCTTGTTCTGTTGCCAAGCCCCTTCCCTTGGCAGCTCCCCTTTTCTCCTAGTAACATCTGCCATATAGGAGCTGGAGGAAATTATGAAACTGTTGACTGAGCCCACTAATCTCTAATCTCACCGGGGCTCTCACCGATGCACAGTAAATATCCCGTCCCTTCCTAATTGACTCCCAATCCCACCTTCTGCAGCAGCTATTGCTTTTCCCTCAAGCCTCCCACAGTTCCCCTTTGTCCCCATCCTGTCAGCCAAAGACCTTGCTTCATATATCAGTGAAAACATTGCGACTATTCACCAAGAGCTCCCATTTCAGATATCATCGAGACATCTCACCTTAAGAGGTGGCCCTTCTTATCAAGGCCAGCCCCTCTGCATGTGCCCTTGATCCATTCCATCCTGTCTTCTAGCTTTCTCCTCTCCTTCACTGCTAAACTCCTTGAGAAAGTCCCCTACACTTGGTGTCTCTGCTTCTTTCTCTCACTCTCTTTTAAACCTCTGCAGTCTGGCTTCTGACTTCATCATTCAACCGAAACTGTTCCCTCCAACGTTACCACTAATCTATTGGCCTCTTCTCAGTCCCGGTCCTCCTTGACCTCGCTGCAGCGTCTGACGTTTTTGATCACCTCCCTCTGGATGCTCTCCTCTCTGGGATTTCATGATCCTCCTCTTTCCTGGGTCTCCTCCTGTCTGACTGCTACTTCTCAGTCTCCTTTATTGGCTCTTCATCCATGTCATGCCCACTACCCTTGGGAGTCCCCCAAGGCTTTTTCCTGGGCCCTCTTCTCTTTTCAGTCCTTATTGTATCATTTGATTATCTCATCAGCTCCCAAAAGTTCAATGATCATCTCTATGCAGATGACTCCCAGATCTATATAGCCAACGATAGTCTCTCTCCTGAGCTGTAGTCACAAGTCTTTGGTGCCTCTTGGACATCTCAAGGTGTTTGTAGGTGTCCTATGTTTTACTGATGTTCCATGGGCAGCTCAAGCTCAGCATGTCCAAAACAGAACTCGTTATCTTTCTCCCAGAGCCCTCTCTTCTGAACTTCCCTGTACTCTCAAGGGCACCGCCATCCCCCCAAGTTGCTCAGGCTTTCAAGCTGGGTGTCATCCTTGCCTCTTCTCCCTCACCCCACATACCAAATCCATTGCTAAGTCTTGGTGTTCCTTCCTTCGCATTTCTCACATACATTCCCTTCTCTCCACTCACCCCGTCCCCACCCGGGTACTATTGCTTTAGCCTACTTCAAGTCTCTCTCCACGTCATTCCATCTTCTGCTTGGCTGGCAAGGTGATTTTTCTAAAGGGTAGGTCTGACTTACCCTGCTGCTCGAGGAACTCGAGTGGCTCCTTATTACCTTCAGAATCACATATCCAGTTCTCCGTTGCGTATTTAAAACTCTGCATATCCTGGTCTCTCCCTATCATTCCAGGCATCTCACACTTTACTTTCCTCTGGACACTTATAGTTCCTAGAACATGACCCTCCATCTCTAGTCTGAGGGCCTTTGGACTGGTTGTCCCCGTGCCTGGAATGCTCCATCCCATCTTAACTTACTTTGCTTCCTTCAAGACTAAACAGAAAGTCTGTCTTCTGCAAGGAACTTTTTCAGTCCCTCCAACTGCTAGTGCCTTCTTACCCTCTATCTCCTTTGTATATATCTTGTATATACCTGATTATTTTCATGTTGCCTCCTCCATTGGATTGTGAGCTCCTGGGGGGTAGGGACTGTTTTTGCCTTTCTTTGCATCCCTAAACTTAGCCCAGTGCCTGGCACATAGTAAGTGCTTAATAAATACTTGTTGTCTGGCTCACCTGTTCTGGAATGCCCTCACTCTGTTTTCTCCTGGTGAATTTCTACTCAATTGGTGAAGTCCATCTCAAATGCCAGAAAGCCTTCCCTAATAATCCATACCTGCCTCAGTAAGTGATGACCTCCATCCCCTTGAAACTGTGCATGCTTCTTTTAAATTTATTTTTCTGCATCCTTTTGATGTACTTATCACTTAATATGGTGTGTTGTGATTATCTGTGTTTGTGCTCTGTTTCTGTGACTAGACTCTGAGTCCCATGAGGACAGAGACCTTATTTAAAGTATCTCTCTCCATGCCCGGATAAGGAGGCATTTAATAAATGTTGGAATTGAATTGGAAGCTCATTTCTCTCTCCTGTGTGTTTGTTTCTCCCTCTTTTCTGTAGGGGTTGATCTGACCAACATTGTAAAAGCGAGACCCAAAGCATCTGCTTGTGGTGACCAAGGGCCAAAACATGAAATTTTGCAGGTAGGAGCCAACTGATAGTTGCAGGAAATGATAATATCATTGCCAGCTTTTAGCAGCCCATAACAGTATTGATAGAGTTCCCTTGGTGTCCAGCCTAGGATGATGCTGAATAGTTTCAGTATTAAATTCTTGCTTTCCAAGAAGACTGGAACTGAGAATTCACGGAGCTGGCCTCGTCAGGACACAGCCAAAGGACAAAGCTGGCCCCTTTTATTTTTTGTTTTATGAATGCCTTTTAGATTTGTATCATATTAGTTTCTGAACATATCCCCATTCCTCTGTCCAGCAAACCTTCCCTTGTAACAAAAATTGAAAAAGAAAAAAAAAACAGTTCAGCAAAATCAACAGTATTGACTGTATGTGACAGTATATGCAATATTCCATAGCCATATTCCCCAGCTCTGCCGTGGAGGGAAGGAAGTACATTTTCTCAGCTCTCCTCTGGGAACAAGTTTGGTCATTTTCATTTCATGATACTTAGTTACATTTTATTGTTCCTTCCACTGACATTGTAGCCCATTGTGCACTGTTGTTTTCCTGGTTCTGCTTCCTTTGCTCTATCAATTTATGTAAATCTGTGCTTCTCTGAATTCTTCATATTTTGCATTTCTTAGTGTAGTGAATCTTCATTGTATTCATGTAGCACAGTTTACTTAGCTATTCCCCCAGTCCTGTACTTTTATTTTTTCAGGCTCAAACAATTCATTTCTTTTCATTTAATATTTTATTTTTCCCTAATCACATGTAAAAACAAATTTCAACAGTCATTGAAAAAATTGAATTCTAAATTCTCTCCCTCCTTTCCCCACCCCCCTCATTGCAGTTTGATATAGGTTATACATGTGTAATCATGCAAAACATTTCCATATTAGTCATGTTGTAAAAGAAAATATAGTCCAAAATAAAAACCCAAGAAAAAATATCTTAAAAAGTATGCTTTGATCTGTATTCAAATTCCATCAGTTCTTTCTCTGGGGATGGATAGCATTTTTCATGATAAGTCCTTCAGAGTTGTCTTGGATCATCATATTGCTTAGAATAGCTAAGTCATTCGCAGTTTTTTTCTGTTCCTGTGTACAGTGTTCTGCTGGTTCCACTCATTTCACTTTGCATCAGTTCATGTCAATCTCTCCAGGTTTTTCTGAGAGCATCTGGCATTCTATCACAATAGTATTCCAGCACAATCATACCACAAATTGTTCAGCAATTCCCCAACTGATGAGCATTCCCTCAATTTCCAGTTCTTTGCCACCAGAAAAAAGCTGCTTGTAAATATTGGGGCAAAGTTCCAAATTGCTCTACATCGTGGTTGAATCAATTCACAACTCCACCAATGGTGCATTAGTGTCTCAATTTTCCCACATCCCCTCCAACATTTATCATTCTCCTTTTCTGTCCCATTAGCCAATCTAATAGGTCTGAGGTAGTACCTAAGTATTGTTTTAATTTGCATTTCTCCAGTCAGTAGTGATTTAAAGCATTTTTTCATATGGCTATAGATAGCTTTGATTACTTCATCTGAAAACTGATTTCATATTTTTTGATCATTTGTCAATTGGGGAATGCTCTTATTTTTATAAATTTGACTCATTTCTCTATATATTTGAGAGATGAGACCTTTATCAGAGAAACTTGCTTCAAAAATTGCTAACTGTATTTCCCTCTATCCTGTTTCCCCCATTTATTCCTCTCTCTCTCTCTCTCTCTCTCTCTCTCTCTCTCTCTCTCTCTCTCTCTCTCTCTCTCTCTCTCTCTCTCTCTCTCTCTCTCCCTCTCCCTCTCTCCTTTCACGTTGTCCCTGCTCAGAAGTATTTTGCTTCTGACTATTGCCTCCCTCAATCAACCCTACCTTCTATGAGCACCCCCGTTTCTCTTTTCCCCTTCTCCTCCTACTTTCCTGTAGGGTAAGATAGATTTCTATACCCAACTGAATGTTTATGTCATTCTCTCCTTGAGTCAATCCCGATGAGAGTAAGGATTAAGCATCCCCCACCACCTCCCCCACCTTCCCCTCCACTGTAAGAGTTCTTTCTTGCCTCTTTTATGTGAGGTAATTTACCCCATTCTGCCTCTCCTCTTCCCTTTCTCCCAGAGCATTTCTCTTTCTCATCCTTAATTTTATTTTTAAAGGTATCATTCCATCATATTCAACTCATACCTGTGCCCCCTGTCTATATATACTCCTTCATATGAGTTACAAGTATCATCTTGCCATGTAGGAATGTGAACAGTTTAACCTTATTGAATCCCTTATGATTTCCCTTTCCTGAGCTCTGGAAGCAGCTACTGCAGCTGCTGATTCATTCACTCCCAAGGCCTGCTCCTGGTCTGTGCTGGTGTGGCCTGTATTAGACTGCACTACGCTCTCACCCTGGTGCGACAGATCTTTCCTGCCAAACTTTTAAGTTGTCTTGGGCTGGAAAATTGTTTCATTTATCCTTTTGTGGGTCCTGCCACTCCAGGATTTGTTTTAGGGCATCATTTAAAGGTCTTTAGAGGGGTCTGGAGGAGAGCTCAGGTGAGTCCTTGCCTTCTCTCCACCATTTTGGCTCCACCCTGATCCTGTAGTTTTTAAAGGCATAAACATGACCTCAGGGGTATAGATCAAATCATAATTTTTTGCAAGTATAGGAATTTGAAGGCTTGACTATGCATGTTTGTTAGAAGGGTTTTATTTTTCTTTCCTTAGTGGGAGATGGAAGGAAGAGAAAATGAATTTTTATTAGCTGACACCTCTCCCCCTTTTTTTAAAGTTTAAAAAAAGAAATGACCCTAGGGAAGAAGGTAGTTAATATTGGTGACCTTGAAACTGAACATCTAAAACCCATGGCCTGACATTCAAGAACTTCCAGAGCCTGGAACCAACTTCTGTTCCCAGCCTTAGCTCACACATCTTCGCACACTTTGTGCTACAGCCGGACTGGGTTCCTTGCCATCCCTCAAACACCTTTTCCTTTCTCTGGGCCTTTGCTCACATAGTTCCCTATGCCCAGAATGCATTTCCTCCCATCTCTTCCAGACACAATGTAAACACCACCTCCTCTGAAAGCCTTCCATGATAGGCAGTTGTAAGTGATTTGACAACTGAGCACACATTTTTTAAGCACACACCACTTTTGGAGCACTGAGTCATGGCCATTATACAAAGTGAAGCTAAGACAGTCCTCTTCTGGTCTACTAGAAGGATGAGAAGACGCCAATACAGATCACTATGAGATTGTACAAGTGCTCCTCCCGCTCCTGAAAAAGAAAAACAGTAAAGAGGCATTGAGTGGTCTTATTTCTTGGCTCTTCCATAGTATCTAGGGTAGGACTGAACACACCTAGTCCAGTAAAGCCTTGAACTGACTTGAATTTTCCATGGAAAAAGAAGTCTATGTACCCATCTTGCTGGGGACAGAGCTGCCCTGCCTGGCTGGGGTGGAGGGGCAGGCTAACCTCTCCCCTTGTTCCGGCACACCCTGATGATGCCGAGTCCTTTCAGCAGGCAGTTGGAGATGGGGCTTGGCCACTGCCTCTCTCCTCTGGCATTGTGGGATATAAATCCACTTTCTCTTCATTCATCTGTCTCTAGCATTCTTGAGTATGTTTTTAGCCAGAAGATTTGTAGATTTTAGTGAGTTCTTTATTCGTCTTTGAATCAGCAGTTGGAAGTAAACATTGATATCTGCTGGAATGTCTTTAGGGGGAAAAGTTGGCAACAAACTCACATTTTTTAGGCATCTGAGTTGGGCACCTGATGCCTCTCTGAGCTTGGGAAGTTCTCTTTGTATTTCTGGCTTCAGGGACGACTAGGACGTGCCAAACCACTTTGGGTAGGGAGTCTCTTTGGGCCTCAGAGGCCTCATTTCTCCATAAAGTTGTTGAGTGAGAAGCTAAGGTCACTTCTGGTCTAATAGCACATTGTATATCTCTCAACGTATATTGGATTTATGAAGATAGGTGACTGACTCTAGGACATACCTGAAGGGTATCTGTGTCTCAGCCCTCAGCGCACTGCCTTGTACAGGCTTCTGTTCTTGGATGGATAAATTTGGGCAAAGTATCCTTTGCTCATAAAGTAACAAATCAAATATGGAAGAATGAAAATTACTCTAGGCCTGTCTAGTCTTTGGTTTAAGAAAACCTTTATTAAGTGCCTACAATTTGTTAGCCATTGGGCAAGGTGCTGGGGACACAAAGACAAAACCGTTCTTGCCTTTAGGGGGTTTATATTCTAATGGGGATTGGGAAATGAATCTATGCCAGGAAGCAAACACAGGGTCTATAAAGAATAGTACAGAGGCATTCCAAGAGGGGATCTGGAGGCCCGAGTGCAGAAGGACGGTAACATCACGTCCACTTGTCTCCCCTTGTGCTTCACAGACGCTGGAGGCTCTCCAGAAGTCTGTCGACTCTGCAGCCTCCCAGGTGGTGGTGGAACACCTCGTGAGCTTCAGTGAGCAATGTCGGGGGCAGGTTGCCAGCCGCTACCTGGCTGCCCAGAAGGGCGCATACCCTGTTGTGTTCTCGGCCTGCCAGCGAGCTGTGACGGAAGACCAAGACTTCTTGGTAAAGGCCCTGAATGCCTTGGCTGCCCTGACTGAAGGCCAGCCAGACCTGCTGGATTCCAGGGGCCTACAGCTGTTAGTGGCCACACTGAAGGAGCGTTCGGGGGTGGCTGAAGTGACGTGCTCTGGGCTCCGCTGCGTTCGGCACGTCTGTCTCAAGCACGAGCAGAACCGGCAGAACTTGGTGAGAGCGGGCATCCTGCCTCTGCTAACCGGGGCCATTGAGAGGCACAGCTGCAGGGCCAACGTGGTCAAGGAGGCCTGCTCCGCTCTGAGAATCATGACGTTTGATGATGACGTCCGAGTGCCCTTCGGCCATGCCCACGACCATGCCAAGATGATAGTGCAAGAGAATAAGGGCTTAAAGATTCTCATAGAAGCCGCCAAAGGTAGGAAGACAGTTTGCTTCTTGGTATCAGTAAACAGGGCAGCTAGGTGGCACAGTGGATAGAGCGCTGAGCCTGGAGTCAAGAAGACCTGAGTTCACGTCCTGCCTCAGACTCTTACTAGCTGTGTGACCATGGGCAAATCACTTTAACCCTGTTTGTCTCCATTTTCTCATCTGTAAAATGAGCTAGAGAAGGAAATGACAAACCCCTCTAGTATCTTTGGCAAGAAAACCTCAAATGGGGTCACAAAGAGTCAGACCCAACTGAACAACTACAACAGATCAGTGAACAGCAGGTTCCAGCCTCCACGTAGTAGAAACTGTGGAAGCCCCTGCATTTGGGAGAGGGGTGAAGCCCACAGGTCACAGTGCTCATCCTAACTGGCCTGTTGCTTTGGGAGTGCAGGAGACCTCTCATAGCCAGCAGGGGGAGCTGAGGCCCGAGATTCAGGTTCCTACCACACCTCTGTGGGAACAGGCTCACTCCTCCTTTCCCTGCATGAGTTTGGCTCTCTGTGGTTCCCTACGATGGGTATCAGACAAAAGTGGCTCAGTCCTCTCCGAGTGGGACTGTGGAATTGTGGGAGGAAGCTGGAGGCTCATCCAGTGTCAGTCAGTTTGCTGGAGGAATTTGCTCTGGGGATAATGGATTTCAGACATTGCCCCATGGCAGGTATTTGCCTCAGCCAGAATAATGAGGAATGTGCCTAGGAGCTGACTCTTGGCTAGCCTGAGTGGGAGAATGAATCCTTTTTCACACTTGAATTAAAGGCACTGATTAAAAATCCATTCGTGAGGCTAAGCAGGGGGTCAGTGGTAGTTCTGAGTGGATCCCACAGCCCCTGTGCTATTTTTCATTAGAAGGGACCCTGGGAAAGAGAAACTGTAGCTTTTCCTTAAGAGTACCTGCCCCTTGTGATGCTAAGCCAAGGCCACATCCCCTCAGTTTGGGGAGAGACTGCTCTGAATGGTCTTCATTCCTGAGCACAGAAGCATTCATCTCTCGTTGCTCTGGCAGCATTCCCAGACAATCCGACTCTTCTCGGTGAGCTGTGTGGTACTTTGTCCCGCCTGGCTGTTCGGAATGAATTCTGTCAGGAGATCGTCGATCTAGGGGGCCTCAACATCATGGTGGCCCTTCTGGCTGACTGCATCGACCACCAGGTGAGTGGTCCCAAGGTGGTCTCTCGGGGACCTTGCACATTTTGTCCATCTGGCCTTGGAAGTTTGAACAAGGAGAGGCAGTGTCACGTAGTGCAGGAGAGCTGGTTTCATAGTTTTAGAAAGAACTGGGTTCACAGCCTATCTCTGATATACATCTGGCTGAGTAACTCTGAGTAGGTAGGTCACTAGTGACCCACAAGGACTCTAAGAATGTCCTTGCAGAGAAGGGGAAGACCAGCCTGGGCACTGGGAGTTTCCTCACTTTGGGTTGTAATGATGTCAAGGTCCAGCTTCTGTCCCTTATTGCAGGTGGGGCAATAGGCATGACCTCATCACCGCCTGGAGAATGATGGGAAAGGTGTGAAATGAAATGTGAACCATGCACATGTATGCTTCAGATTCTGAGATGTGAAGCAGTGCTAGGTTTGAGGGTCTCAACTATCTGGACAACAATGTCTGTTCACTCCTTTTCCATGTTAATCATAATGACAAGATGGCCAAAACAAAAAATAAAAACAATAATTCGCCCAAGGACCACTTGCTGGTGTCAAGATATTGGGCAGCAGCATCTGGGCATGTGACGAAGCAGTCCTTCTTTACAGAGAGCCTGCTGTGCTGTTTAGACCTTTTCTGTCCTTTCCCACTGACCCCTGAGGGAAGAGTAGGCCAGGGTCAGGAGCAAACTCCACCTTGAACCCCCTTCAGGTGACTCTCAGACTGGCCAACTCGCTAAACCATCTCCACTTTACAAGAGTTCCCTTCGTGTGCCCATTACTGTGGCCAGAGCCCTGGGATTCTGGTCGGCAGACCTCCACTGGAGTCCAGCTATGGGACCTCGGACAGGGCATCTCACCTTCTGGGTACACAAGTTCCTCTGTAAAAGAGGGCACTGCCAAGCGCACAAGGCTGTTGTGCTTCGTGAGCCCCAAGTCAAACGAGAGTCATCGAGTCCCTGTTTCCAGGGTTTAGTCTGGCAGAGCCAGTAAGGAGGTAGTCTGGGAGTGAGGAAGATGGAGGTTCCACGTCACCTCTGCCACATGCTGCCTCATGGCCCTAGGCAGATTGCCCCAGGAGAGTCTCTTGTTACTGATACGCATGGGTGGAGGAAGTGCCCTCACCAGTTCATCTGCACTGATGAAATCACATGTTCCCCCTTCCAATTATCTATTTGCTAAAAGGCATTGGAAGGAACTGGGATCTTCTTGTGGTGTGACATGGCTTGTCTATAGGAGGCAAGAAAAATGTACCCAGAAATAAAGGTGATACAAAAAAGAAAGACAGCAACGAAAATCAGATTTTCTTGAAAGATGCTTCTGTCAGTTCTCAAAGGCCACAACAGCAGAAGCAGCTCTGGGAAGTCCTAACAAGGAGGAAAGGCTTAGGTCTAGGCATGGGCCTAGACAGCCATCAGAGGTGGTGGGAAGGCCCTGGCCCTGGCAGGAGTCACGCCGGACCTGTCAGCTACCTCCTCTGTAAAATGAGATCATTCTGCATAACCACAGAGATCCCTTCCACTTCTAGATCTACGCTTAGGGAGGGAGGGCTTCATCAATTCTAGAAGACATCTTTATCAAGGCAGTCTGCTCCGATGGAGGAGGGGCCTAAGCTATGCGATAATGAAATATTCTGAAAAGGCCCCGAGTTCTAGTCCCAACTCTGCTGTTTACTAACTATAGGATCTCGAGCAAGTTAAGTTATTTTGCCATTCTGGGCCTCAGTTTTCCTTATCTGTAAAATGGCCAGGGTGGGGGGTAAGCAGGGTGGGATATGGCGATTGATTAAATATTTAGGATTCTGAGATCAAGAACATCAAAATAGTTTCTGGAGCTGAATTTAACTGCTGTGCTTTGGTGGCCACCTTGAACACAGTGCTCTCTACCTCTGATGTGCTTATTTTGATGACCACACACAGGAGCTGGTACGGCAGGTGCTGGGCACTCTCCGAGCCATCGCTGGCAATGATGATGTAAAGGATGCCATCGTCAGTGCAGGTGGAACAGACTTTATTGTGATGGCGATGACCCGGCATCTCTCCAGTCCCCAGGTACCAACCGTGACAGCTGAGCTCTTTGTCGCATCTTCTTGGGCTTTCTTCAGTGCTTAGGCAGCCAAAATTTGACCTGGATGGTCCCAAAGAAAGGACATTATGTGTAAATGGCCCATAAAGGGATTAATGAATGGTGAAATCTTGGGCTCTGGCCTGGGATAATCTTGTGACCCTGGGCCTCACCTATGCCTTGTCTCCCAAGCTCAAGGTCTCGGTGAGGCATGAGGCTGAACCCCCTGGGGTCAGGATGCAAGAGCCAGGAGTTAGAAAGGGAACACAAGAACACCAGGTGCCAGAAAAGGCCAGGCTGCCATTGTGGTAGGGTGAGGAGAGTGCAGAGCTGGAAATCTGAAGACCGAGGTCAGAATCCTCCCTCATCTGTCAGAGGGAGAGAATCATCTGGGGACTCCCCTCCTCACTGCGATGTTGTGAGAACTAGAAGCAAAAGTCTGCATTTCCCAGGACGTGTGTTTGTGTGTGTGTGTCGTCATCGGTCTGGTTTGTGTAGCTCGATGAAACACTGCCTCCTTTGTCCTGTGTCTGATCCCTGCAGATCTGTGAGCAGAGCTGTGCAGCCCTGTGCATGCTGGCCCTGCGCAAGCCGGCCAATAGCCAGGTGATTGTTGAGGGTGGGGGCGCCTTGGCAGCCCTGCAGGCCATGAAAACCCACCCGAAGGAAGTCAGCGTGCAGGTAGGCAGCCAGCTCCTGCTCCCACAGCCGCCAGTGGATTATGTGGTTTTGCAGGAAAAGGGGCAATGATGCTGACCTCTGTCTCTTTCTTTCCCCATGGAACTGTAGGCATAGGGGTGGCCCCTTTTTGCTTAGGATAATGATATTCCTGACTTGAAAATACCACCACCACATGTAGGGAAAGGAGTCTCCCTCCTCCAGTTTCACCTCTCCCACTTCTACACCCATACTGCTGCCAACAGACAGAGCCAAGACCTGGGGAATGTGGCAGCAAAAAGGCTGTGAGTCTAGTGGTCTCTGATAGGGACTGAGTTTTTCAACATTCTCAGGAATGGAGCTTTGCCCTGCCAGCCCTACCCTAGGCTCCATGGTATCCACACTGGTAGTCCAAAGTCGCGTGTCTACTTCATTGTGGCCTAGACCAGTGCTTCTTAAACTGTGGGGTTGAAATCCACAGCTTAAGAAGTGCTGAAGGGGTTGTGAGTGGAAGAAGTTTAAGAAGCCCGGGCCTAAACTATCTCAATGTTCACATCCCTCTAGCTGCATTCAGCCTCAGGCTTGCTTGTTACTTCTGCCTGATGGAGCTATGTGGTCAGCTCTGGGTCAGCCTCTTGGGGCTTTTCTCCCTCACCCCTTCCTGCCACAGAGACAGCAGCCTGCTGTCTCTTCAAGTGTAGTAACATTTTGTTGGGATCTGGAATTTCGTTGCTTGTTTGAACTTCTGGTATGAAAGTCTGACAACCAATGCAGATCAGTAGCATGTCTACATGAGAGGTCTAGTAACCTGCCTGAGGTCACAGAACCAGGATGTACAAAGGCAGGATTTGAGCTCAGGTCTTTACGACTCTAGGCCAGCCAGCCATCTGACCTCACCACAGCTTCTCAGCAAAATCTGAGCGTTTCATACGTGTTTGGTGCTGGTACTGCCAAGATGAAAGAAATGATAAGCTGCCTTGAAGGAGCTTGTGATCACGGAGGCACACATGTCCACAGGGCATTTGTGTAAAGGAGGACCTAGGACAAACTGGTAGGTGAGATTAGAGGAGAGAGAGCTAGGGAGGAGGCAGGAGGCCCCTGAGCCAGGCCGTGGTGAAAGGGCTTCGAACTGGCAGAGATGGAGGGTGGGGATGGACATGAGCAAACGTGCAGAGATGGGGAAGTGCCAGAGGAAAACAGTGAGTCATACAGTTCGGCTGGAACTCAAGAGTATGTGAAAGGGAGGCACGGGAGATAAGGCTGGAGGTGTAGATTCGAGCCAGATGCTGGAGGGCCTTGGATGCTAGGCCAGGAGTGCTTACTTTGTCCAGTAGCTGCCAATGAAGAGCTCCTGAGGTGGTTTTTTGTTCAGTTTTGTTTTGAAACTTAATCTTAATGGACTGCTCTAATCATATCACTCCAGAAGCAATATGAAGATGAACTGGAGAAGGAAGAGACTTGGAGAAAGGAAGCACTCAGCATCGAAAAAGCTGCAGAACCTTAGCCAAGGGGCCAAGGATGGGCAGGCCCAGCTGTTTTCAGGGGTCACTGTTAGTACGTAGGACACCAGTCCTTTTGATCTTTACAGGCCAGAATAATGAACCCGGGCTAATAAGAGGGAATGTAATTAGGTATAGAGGTCAAGTCATAGACTTTGATCAAAAAACCAAATGAACCAAGTGCAGGCTGGGGAAGGCATGACAAGGTGAGTGCCTATGAGAGCTGCCATGGTTTGAGGCTGCTTTCAGAGAGGCCTAATGCCCAGAGGGAAAGAGGTGAAAGCTTGGCTGTCCCTACCCTGGCCAGACCCCTCTGGAGTCCTGGGAAGGCCGTTGACTGACTGGAGCTCAGCCAGAAGAAGGGACCCAGAATGGTGGGGGGCCAGAAAGCTGTGCCAGGAGAGGATGACCGAAGGGATTGGGGAGGCTGGGCCTGAAGAAGAGGAAGCTTTCCAGGGGAAAAGGGCCATGGTGGTTCTCTTCACATACCAAAGAGGCTCTTGTGGGAGGCTAGCCACAAAGAGCAGCCCTAGAAGTAACTCAAGGAAAGTTGAATGGTAGACCACAGTGGATTTTTGGCTCAGTACTTAAGGACAAACTTCCTAATAATATTTTAGGATTGTCTAAAGAGTAGGGAGAGGAAGAGAATTTGGAACAGAAAAATAAATATAGTTGTGCTCTTAAAAAAATAAGTAATTTTTAAAGATGAATGTGATTTTAAAAAATTGTGTAGAAGTTGAATGGACTGCCTTGTAAAGTGTAAATGAATGAATTCAGTGCTTAATTTATGCCAAGCACTGTACTAAGTACAAAGAGAAGAAGAAAGTCCTTGCTTTTGGTGAGCTCACACTCTAAAGAGGGGGACAGCATGTAAAAGAGAGGGCAGCCACCGCAGGGCAGATGGCAAAGCCCAGAGGTCATAGAGACAGGGAGGCTGATAGGACCTAGAAGACCTCAGGAGACAGTGGCAGAGCAGAGGCTGGATTACTGTTAGGGTTAGTGCAGGGTGCAAGAAAATGAGGGACCAAGAGTGCATTGGGAAATGAATATAATAATAAACAGGCATCAGTAAAACTTTTAAAAACTATAAGGGAGACAGTTAGGTGGTACAGTGGATAGAGCTCTGGCCTTAGAGTCAGGAGGACCTGAGTTCAAATCCCACCTCAGACACCCAGCACTTATTAGCTATGTGACCCTGGGCAAGTCACTTAACCCCGATTGCCTCACCAAAAAGCGGGAAAAAAAACAAACAAAAACAAACCAAAAAAACCCTATACAGTAATTGGGCCAGGACAGGCAACAGCATTGAAGTGAGAAGAAATAGGGAGAGAGCCCCCGATTTTCCCAGTGGTGGCCCGAATATCTTTGCTTATGTCATTCCTTCAGCCTCAGAATGCCCTCCATACCCCCTTCTCTACCTGTTGGAAATTCTACACATCTTTCTAGATCTAGGTAGAATAAATCCACCTCTTCCATGAAACCTTTCAAGATCCCTCACTCATCTCTACCCACTAGTCATAGATCTTTGCCTCTTCTGAACTCCCCAAACCAAGATACCTTATAACTCATAGTGCTTACTATCTGTCCTGCCTTGGATAGCTGGGGCAATGAGTCTGATGTTTTGAGAAGTAGATGAGAACAAAAGGGCTAGGCTTTTCCTTCCCATCTTCCTCCTCCCCTTCTAGTTTCTGACATATCTCTGTGCTCTCTGGCAATAACTTTTGTTCTTTCTCTAGAAACAGGCTTGCTTGCTGATTCGTAACCTCGTAGCCCGCACACAGGCCTTCTCCCAACCCATCCTGGACATGGGGGCAGAGAGGCTCATCATGGAAGCCCGAGCCACACACCGGGAATGTGATGATGTGGCCAAGGCTGCCCTTCGGGACCTGGGCTGCAAGGTGGAGCTTCGGGAGCTCTGGACAGGCGAGAAGGGAGACCTGGCTCTCTGAGGCCCCGCCTGCACCAGCAGGCTTCAGAACATTCCACATCTCACCTGGGAACTTGAGGCTGCAAGGGTACAGTGCTGCTCAGAGGCCTCATGGAAGAGTCTGTTACCTTCCAGTGGCCCAGAAGTACAGTCTTCTCTACCTCTGGCTCCAGAGGGAACACCCTGGCCCCCTCTATGTGGTTTTGGTACCACCTCTATCCTGCTCATTTCTGAAGGCCATAGTTGAGAGCAGATTGGTTTGGATACAGCGGGGCCCCCTTCCTCCTGGAGTGATTTTGGCCATTCCGTGTCTTGTTTGTTTTAATATGACAGTCTCTTGGTGGCCTTGTGTGTCTTCTGCTTTAGGCCAAGATGCATGTTCCTGTGAAGGTGGACAGCCAGAGCCAGTCAGTAGACCACCTTATCACTTCGACTCAACCTCCACTTGCTTAAAACAGGGTAAAGAATGATGTCTGAGAAATGCTTCTTAGATACTGAAGGCTAACCAGTAAAAGCCTGCCTCCCCATTCATTCTCCTGAGACTGCAGAATCACCCCGTGGCTGGCCTCTTTTCCAGTCACTTGCCCCTGATCACATCAGGTCTCGCCCTGCCAGCCCTCCATCTTGGATCCCTCCCTTCATCCTCTACCTTGCTGGGGAATGAAGGTGGAGAAAATCATAAAACTGTGCTGACTGTACATTTATGTTACATAATCTTCCATAAGCCCAACTTTGTGGCTCCTCAAACAAACACTGCAGGCATTTTCTCTGGCCGTCCCCTCATGCATGAAATGCACTCTCTCTCCTCATCTGCAGCTCCTTTAATTCCCAGCTAAAAGTCAATCTTTCACTGGAAGCCTTCCCCAACCCTTTCTAATCCTGGTGCCTTCCCTCTGTACATTATTTCCTATTTATCCGATATAGAGCTTGTTTGTAACTACCTGTTTGCTTGTCATCATCCATATTAACTTGTGAGCTCCTCTTTTGCCCTTCCTTGTATTCCCAGAAATTAGCACAGTGCCTGGGGCACATAATAGGTGCTTAATAAATGTTAATTGACTGCCTGTCCAGGCTGGGTATTTGGTTATGTCCTACATCCCAAGCTTGGGGATGCCAGGTAGCTTGTGAGAGCAGCCCCCGCGCCAGGTGCTAGGCTTACTCTCTGACGGCGCTGTCATGCATTCTAGAGCTGGGGAAGTCTGCTTCTCTGGTTTTCCTTTCCCTTCCCCCAAGTACCTCTGAACTCCCAGCCCGGCTGTCCTACTGATGACCTGGTCTCTCTAGCCTTCCCACCCCACTTGTCCTGTCCTTGTGCCCTACTCTCTCTGCCTACTGGTTAATAATGGCATCAAAAGCAAATGCCAACTCATTTGTGGCAGTTCTAAACCTCAGCACATTTGTTTAGCACTAAGGAATTGTTCTTCAAATCTGGTTGTCGGACTGGTCTACTGGAGTTTGATTCACAGGACAAACAAAAGTACATAATAATAAGTTATGTAGAAAAGTGTCAAGGTAGCTAGGTGCCACTGTGAATAGAGCACTGGTCTGGAGTCAGGAAGACCCAAGTTCAAATCTAGCCTCAAGGCACTAGCTGGGTGACCATGGGCAAGTCACTTAACCCCTATCTGCCTCAGTTTCCTCAGCTGTAAAATGGGGATCATAATCGAACCTATTTTTCTGAGTTGGTATAAGAATCAAATGAGATGTTTATAAAGTGCTTAGCATGGTGCCTGGCACACAGTAGGCACTTAACAAATGCTTGGTTCCCCCCCTCCCAAAAAATTCTTTTAATCATCTCAACAAAAACAATACTTTCTGTTCATTTTATTTTTAATTTGTAGTAGTGGTCAGTAAGGTAAAGGGAGACTAGATAGTATCTGTCATGACAATCTCAGTTATGTAGCCTAACCTTTACCTGAAGCAGGAATCCTCTCTACAACATCCTTGACAGGTGGTCCCCCAGCATGAATACTTCTGGTGATGGAGAACTTGCTACTGCCAGAGACAGCTCCTTCTACCTTTGGACAGCTCTAGCTGCCTAAAAGATCTGGAAACCCACAAAACCCAAAAGCAGTATTTTTTTTCTCATTACTCTAGAAAAATATCTCCAAAGTAAGACACACATTTCTTTTTTTTTTTAATAAATTAATTTATTTTTAGTTTTCAACATTCACTTCCATAAGCTTGAGTTTTAAATTTTCTCCACTTACCCCCTCTCCAAGACAGCATTCAATCTGATATAGGTTCTACATATATGTTCCTGTTAAACATTTTCTTTTTTTTATTAATCTATTTTGATTTATCAACAATCACTTCTATAAGCTTTTGAGTTTTAAATTTTTCTCCCCCTCCCTCCCCAAGATGGCACACAATCTGATATAGTATGTATATATATATATATATATATATATATATATATATATATATATATACACACTCCTATTAAACATTTTCACGTTAGTCATGTTGTAAGGAAGAATTAGAACCAACAGAAAGAACCACAAGAAAGAGGAAATGAAACAAACAACAAAAAAAAGAGCAAATAATATGCTTCAACCTGCATTCCAACTCCATCGTTCTTTCTCTGGATGTGGATAACACTTTCCATCATGAGACTTTTGGAGTTGTCTTAGATTCTTGTATTGCTGAGAAGAGCTAAGTCTACCAAAGTCAGTCATCACTCAATGGGACTGTTACTGTGTACAATGTTCTGGTTCTGCTCACTTCACTCAGCATCAATTCATATAAGTCCTTCCAAGTTTTTCTGAAGTCCGCCTGTTCATCATTTCTTATAGCACAATAGTATTCCATCACAATTATATATAACAACTTGTTCAGCCATTCCCCAACTGATGGGTATCCCCTCAATGTCCAATTCCTTGCCACCACAAAAAGAGCTGCTATAAATACTTTAGTACGTGTGGGTCTTTTTCACACAAGACGTCATAGGGATGAGGGGTCGACCAATTAGGAAACGGATCACATCTACTCTCTTTAAGCTAGCCAAAGGCCAGATGCTCTCAAACATGGGCTTTATCACCCTTTTATCATTCAACAATCCCTGACCCAGCTCCCTCCAGGTTCTGACCCAAACCATTGTTCTAGTTCCCAGCCTCCCCTCTTTTTCATCAGGGGCTGGCTGCTTAGAGTGGTTACAACTTTGACCTGAACGCCCAAAGACAATGTTGGGGAAAATTTCCCCCGTTCCCCCCAGCATACGTACAACCGCCCTTCTTAGTGTTTCAGGTCCTGCCTCAGCTGGCTGCACTCTGCACTCTGGACCAGTATCTAGTAAAAGCCTCCCCTGCCACACAATCACCCAACACCCCTCTCCCTGGAAGGGAGCAGGAGCGCTGGTATCCTGAAGGCCCTCACGTGAACCCAAAGGAAGGCCTGTTCACCAACCAGCATCCTCCTTACACCCTACCCTACTCTGTAGTCCAGTGACCCGGGCCTCCTGGAGTAATACATTCCTGTCTCCCAAATCCAGGCATTTGCACTGGCCAGAAATCTCTCTCCTCAAAAGTACTTGAGTTTTAGTGTACCAAAGCCCAGGTCATTCTCCCTCCCTCTCAAAGAGTTAACACCTGGTTCACTATTCCCTAACCCCTGTCCTGATGCCAGGTGATTGTAATCTCCATGGAGATGCTATCAAACTCCAACATTTCCTCAACCTCTTAGGTCACCCTCTGACCTACTCCCTCATTCCCCTTTAGCCATACACAGGGATGATCACATACTAGAGAGAAAGGAGGGAAGGGGCTCCATCAAATGTACTTGTTGGCTTTGATGAGGAGGACCACCTGTTGGTCAGAGACTGGGGTTTTCTGAGATGAAAAGAATGAGACAAGGAGTTCACATCAAATGCCCTCTTTTTTTTTCTCAGTAAAAAGGCAAGGTCCTCAACTGAGGGGAAGAGGGAAAAGAAGATGTAGATCGCTTCTGAGGAGTAAGTGAAGGAACCAATTAAAACAAAAGTGACAGACCAGTTAGGGTTAGTGTTTCACCTGTGGCTGGGCTGGGCTTGGCAGTGCCAGGATGGACCAGAGTGTTACCATTCATTTTTCAGCTAGAGTGCTAAGGAGTTCTTTCAATGAAGGCAAGGACCCTTAGCCTAGGATTAGAAGAAACTTCTGGTCTCACTGGGGCACTCCCTCTTTAACAAAGAACAGAAAGGGGGATCATATATGAAACTGAATTTCTGTCAATACAGGTTGGTTTTTTTTAAGTCAATTGATCTTTTGAGGTTATATACAGTAGTGATGTCAATAGCTGTTTCCCTTCTAATTTTAACCATATTCATTTTGTGCAAAAACTTTTCAATTTCATGTACTCAAAACTGGCCACTTTATCCTCTGTGATACTTTCTATCCTTTGGTCATGAACTCTTCCCTAGCCATAATAGTGAAAGAGATTTTCTTCCTTGTTCTACTTTGTTTACAATATGACCTTTTATATCTAGGTCACATAGCCATCTGAAGCTTATTGTGGCAAATGTGAGATCCTGGTCTAACTCTAATTTCTGCCAGAATGCTTTCTAGTTTTCCCCAACAGTTTTTGTCAAAAAAGGGAGTCCTCAGGATGTCCATTATCATCATTATTCAACAATGTGCTAGAGAAATGCTAGCTTTAGCGGTAAGTCAAGAAAAAGAAATCAAGGGATAAGCACCGGCCACAAGGAAACAAAACATCACTTGTTGCAGATGACATAATATTCTTAAATTTGTTTTTGTTTTTGGCTAGGCAGTGGGGTTAAGTGACTTGCCCAGAGTCACACAGCTAGTTAATGTCAAGTGTCTGAGGCTAGATTTGAACTGAGGTCCTCCTGACTCCCGGGCTGGTGCTCTATCCACTGCGCCACCTAGCTGCCCCTGATATAATATTCTTAGACAATCCTAGAGAATAAACTAAAAAACTAGTTAAGATAATTACTTTAGCAAAGTTGCAGTATAGAAAATAAACGCATACACATTACCAGCATTTCTATATATTACCAACAAAGCCCAGCAGGAAGAGAGAGAGAAATTCCACTTAAAATAACTGCAGACTATTAGTATAAAGTTGTTAGAGAGTCTACCTTCCAAGATACACACACACACACACACACACACACACACACACACACACACACACACACAGAGGAACTATATGAACACAATTAAAAAACACTCATCATAGAAATAAAGATCTAAATAACTGGAGAAATCTAAATTGCTCTTATGTAAGCCAGTAGAATAAAAATGACAATACTACTTAAATGAATTTACTTATTCAATGCCATACCAATCAAAATGTCAAAGAATTAATTTATAGAGCTAGAAAAAAATAACAAAATTCACCTAGAGGAACAAAAGGTCAAGAATATCAAAGGAATTAATGGGAAAAAAAAGTGAAGCAAGGGGGCCACATCACAAAGTATATTACAAAGCAATTTCATTAAAACACTTTCATACTAGGTAAGAAAATGGAGTGGTTGATCAATGGAACAGATTAGGTACACAACATATAAAAGCAAATGAGTACAGCTAGTGTTTGATAAACTCAAAGATCTCAGCTATTGGCGTAAGACTGCACTACTGGACAACAACTGCTGGGAAAACTGTAGTCTGGCAGAAATTAGGTGTATTCCAACAGCTGACACTGCACACCAAGAGAAGCTCAAAATGGGTCCATCATTTAGGCATAAAGGATAATATAATAAACAAATTAGTGACACATGGTGGAAATTACCTTAGCTCTATGGATAGGGAAAAAGTTAATGAACCAGTAAGACAAGGGAAGGTAAAAGGGATAATTTTTTAATAGTATTTTTACCCAATTATATGTAAAGACAATTTTTAGCATTCAGTTTTACAAGGTTTTGAGTTCCAAATCTTTCCAATGCAGTCAAAATTAGAAAAAAAACAGGAAAGTGGGAAGAAAATTTTTCTGATAAAGGTCTCATTTCTCATACATATAAAGGACTGAGCCAAATTTATAAAAAACAAGCCATTCCACAATTGATAAATGGTTAAAGGATATGAATAGGCAGTTTTCAGAAGAAAAAATCAAAACTGTCAATAAT